AGCTTCTCATCCTCACCAGATGAGATCACATCGTCCCAGTCACTGATGTGATCATTCTGGTTGACCAGATGCCGCACAGGAGAAGGAATGCCAGAACCGACTCCCTTGGAGGGGGAGACAGAGAATTGAGATTGAGCATCGAAGTCGAGCTTAGGTACATTCAAGGTGTTGGCCATCAGGCCACGTCCAGGGCTCGGGCTAGGAGCTTCGCTCCTGATGTCGGCAGGAGCGTGTCGCTTTTCTTTAGACGGATGCAGGGCAGACTCGGGAATGCGATCACGAGGTTGAGGCGTGCTCAGACGTTCAACTCCAACATCCGAATCATCATTCAACTGCTCCATGATAGCATTAAGCTCCTCATCGTCAGGCGAGTCCTCGGTCTCATCAGCATGGGCTTCATATAGCATAGGCTCACGCTTAGGTGAAACTGGAGCTTTGGAGGTGGCATCGCTCTTCCCATCATCCACCGGCTTGGGGGCAGGCGTCGGTTCCCCAGCAGTAGCCGGCACATACTCGGGAACAGAGGCTTTGAACTGGAAGGGCTTCGCAGTGGGTGACAGGAAAGCGTGCTTCTGGTTATCTTCGGTAGACCCTTCCTGCTCTTTGTTGCCAGCATTTCCTTCTTCGGCGGATACCGACTCTGACTTGGGCTGTATGTCGGTAGCCGGTCCTGACTCCTGGACTGCTTCCGTACTCTCGTTCTTCTTATCAAACGGTGTCCAGGTCGACGCTTCACTAATGGGGGTATCTTTCCTTTCGGCGAACTTGTCATCCTGAATAGAGACAGGCTTCTGAATTGCTTCATTTCTGTCTCCACCTTCTGGCTGTACGTTTTCTTTGCCTTCAGCGGGCACACCATGTGCGCTAGACACTTGCGGTTGTTGAACGTTACCAGACTCTGCCAATGCGTGCGACATGCTGAACTGGGCCTCGCCATCCGATGCTTCATCGCCGCGACGTGCACGCTTATGGCGGTCAGTGCGGACTGGGCGTCCGTTGTCGTTTTCAGCCTCCTCTTTACTGCTCTTGTCCTCCGCGGTCTCATCCGGCCGCACGATGGGAATGGCCTTGGACTTCTTGGAGGCCTTTGATGCCTCCGAGACATCAACATCGTCAAATATTTTGGTCCTGCCATTTGCAGTTTCCTCAGACTTCGTAGTGAAGCCACTTCCAGTAGGGTTGAAAGCAGGAGCCGCGACATTGAGAGAAGCGGTCGAAAACTTAAACTCGCTGGATCCAGTGTCTTGTGTGGTCGTATCGTTGGCAGCAGCACTGGGCGTGAAGGGGGGTGCGGTAAGGTTGAAAGCGCTAGCGGAGGGATTGAAGCTGGGCACAGAGCCAAATGTGAACATGGGATTTCCAACAGCCGAGGGTTGGAAGGCGTTTTCTTGGAAGGGAAATTGCTGCGATGGGATTGAGGCAGTTGGGTTGAACTCCTTCGCATCGACGTTGAAAGTAGAGGACGAAAGCTTGGAACGGTGTCCGCCTGTATATGAGCCAGCACTGGGCTTCGGCTCATGCCACGGTATGTTATTCGCAAGCGGACCATGTCGCTGAGGCGTCCCAGAAAGACTCGGGTTTGTATCGATATCCGAGCCATCATGGACGTTACCTGCTGCGTAATCGCTGCCGTAGAACTGGTGCATGTGCTGAGGATATTGTTGGGATGCAAGAGCGTCCGCCCCTGGGAAAGCCCAACGAGATTGTAGGAGCTCAGAACCATCGAAATTGTGAAGAGCGGGCTCACGATCACCTTCATCAAGCTGCCGGTCAATAGTCTCCTCCAGATGATAGCTAGGCGGGATTCTGTCCAGGCCCTTCTGTAGCGTTTCGCTCAGATTGTGACCACGGTCGTGGCCACGAGGGGTAGGCTGCGCGATCTCAACAGTAGAGGCGTGGAAGTGATCAGGTCCCTCCGTAGGGGTGCGAATGGGACGTAGCAGCTGGCCTTCAGTGACGTGATCCTGCAGCTCATGACCACCGTAAGCCTCCTTCGGTAGGCCTGGCTGTTCGTTCAAGCCAGGGTGGAAGGCACCCTGCTCGTTCAATGGTGACACGGGAGACAAAATCGAGCCCAAGTGAGGAAGCGTTCCAGGAATGGATGCGGCGGGACCTGCTTGCCGCGCATTAAAGAAACTCTGAGGAGTGAGCGAGCCCTGAGCAGGAGGAGTAGGTTGGAATTGCATAGGGTATCCAGGAAGTAGGTTGTTTTGGTCGACCCCGAGGAATGGCGTCTGAATGCTGAACTGCGAAGCCGGGGAAGCCAGAGTCCCCAGACCGGCGGGGTTTGCCGGCTGGCCCAGCTGCGGAGAGAAATGATGAGACAGAGATAGAGGATTACTCGCTGCTGACCCTGTCGGGATCGGTGGTGACGATACAAGACCGGGGAAGGGGGCCATCTGGCTCATAGTAGCGGAGGCCGGGGATATTGAAGGTTTGGGTTCATCCAAAAACACACCCAGGGCACGCAATTTCTCTTCCTGAAGATACGCAACATATGCATCCCATTCTGCTTTGTCAGGAATGCTGACCCCATACCTCCCGTCCTGTCTTTCCTCCTGGACCTCTGCCGGGTCTGGGAAAAGCGGACGACTGAGGCCGCCCAACTCAGTATCAAAAACATCCTCCGATCCGACGCTGAATCCACGGGTGTCGTATCCCTGTTCTTCCCAGTCTCTCAACCGTTGTTTGACATCTTCCGCCGTCAACAAACGGTATCCAGACTCCTCCGTGCCTCTTTTGTCGTCACATGGCAGCGAGATGAAGCATGCTTTCCCACGCCAAACGATCTTCTTCCTCACTCGTTGTGTCGGCGTTTGGCTGTTCCTGTCGAGCACTGGGCTTTTCACGGCTTTTGGCTCGGTAGGAGTATCAAGTCGGTCCGTAAGGGAAGGGTCTGTCGGGGTGGGAGGAAGCGGCTTTTCTATCGTAGGAAGTGCCTTGTTGGGCCCCTGTTCCACAAGGGACTGTGCTTCTGTTGAATCCATTGTGATCGGCTGAGGGTCTTTATCGTATGCGAAACCCCAAAAGTCCTCCTGTCGAAGTGTATCTGCTCGCTTGTGAAGATAATCTCTCGTCTGTTGGCGTGGGAGACTGCCTTCCCGGCGAGCTGCTTTTCGATTTACGAAGTCAGCGAGGGTGGGAGTCTTCAGGAGGTCCTCGTCGCGAGGATCTTGTTCCAGGCCAAGCCAATCGTCCGATGCGTCCTCTGCGAAATAATTTTGTGCCGTAATAAACGAAGGTGCCTCACTACCCGAATCGTCGCTCAACCAATTGCTTCGTTCGGTTCTGGGCTGACCGGTGAGGTATTGATTAATCCAATCTTGCGTAAAGTCCTTTATCGACTTCCCACCTTTCCTACCAAAAATGTCTCGGGCTGGAGACCGGCTGGAATTACCGCTGTACAGTTGTCTCGCTGAGCTGTCCCGGGCAGAGGGTCTTAAGAGCTCGGGATTGTTCGATTCGGAACCGTTACGGATGCCACTGCGCATCGATACCGGAGAGCTATTTCCGGAATCACGATCGACAGGTCCGGCTTGACTCAGTGACCACGACAGCCTCCGAGGACTTGGTGCAGCATACGGTGAGCCCCAGGCGGTGGTATAGTAGATACTACTTTCCGCTCTTCGGTTCTCCGGCGAGGTTGACGAATCCCAGGCGGCCCGGTATGTGGAGAAAGTAGGAATAGTATTCGGGGGATTCGGGGTGACGCTGCGGCCCCGGGGAGAGCTCGACCGGCCAGGTGATCCAGCGGCCGAGAGACTCGACGCTCCTGGCGTTGCGGAAATGGAAGTCAATGGCACCGTCAGCAGGGAATCGTCACGGAGGACGGACGGATCTGTAGGGTGCTGCGGCGACGGCGAAAGCGCCGAGTTGGCGGAAGATGCGGAGGGACCTAGATCTAAACGTACAACAGCATCGAGATACGATTAGCCTCTGGACTACTAGATTGGAGGTGTGATGGGAACGAGGAAGATGACTGGCAGGAGACACCGCCATAGGGAGGTGGATGGGGAGGGAAGATGAATTGGAAAAATGTGGGATTGATGCAGCCAAGGTAACACTTCGACAGGCAGACACACCTTCCGTTTCGACTCCTGCAGCAAGCACTTGCTTGCTGCTCCCCTTATCGTCCAGAATGTTGAAGCATGGAAATCAAAGCGCTGAGACCGAATCCACCTCGCCGATGAGCTGTGATCGACACACGAAAGGAGGGGGAGGGACGAGACAAATCACACGCTTGGACGAGAGCGCGATTGGGGGGAGAAAATGCGACCAGTGAGTGGTACCTATAACACCGTGGAATTTGGGGGGAGGGAGGGTGGAGGGGGAGGAATAATCTTCAGGGGCGGTGGGTAGTTCCGAAAGAAGATCCCCAAACAGACATCCGCGGCTTGCGGGCGACGGATCAAGGACAGAAAGAGAGAGGGAGGGAGAGAGATTGAGATTGAGAGAGAGCGCGAATGGATGAACAACAGATCACAGATACCTAAGGTATGCGAGAAACTTGGGCATGGCGCATCCACAAAGGACAACTGGATTGAAGTTGGAAGAAGACAAGGATCAAGCGTTGCGACCAGTGATAGTGGATGAAAGTGGTAGTGGTGGTGGTAGTAATCAGAGAGTAAGTAATTGAGAGGCGGACCTTAATTTTTTCCTGTACGAATTTTTGTTCTTTGCTTTTGAGCAACTTTCTTTTTTTTTTTTTTTTTTTTTTTTTTTTTTTTTTTTTCCTTTTCCTTGGAGTTGGATCGAATCAGTCTGGGGCCATGTCACGATCCGCCAGCAAGCAAGTCCGTTTTTTTTTCTTTTGACTTTCAAAGCTGCACAGGCGCGTGAAAATAACAAAAACTTAACGCTAAACTACCTAATCAGACAGTGGAGAGCTGCGAGGGCGACCGTTGGGGAAGAAGTAATGGTATGGTAACCAGATATCCGCATTGGGAGCGGATTCTGGCCTCACGACCTTCAAGTTTTGGCCTTAGTTGGACGACTAGTGAGTCCGGTTAAGCATGAATTGGGGATAGTGGTGGTCTTTAGCCTGGCATAGTGCCTCAAGCTGGCCAGCTCAACCCGATCTTCATCTCTGACCGCCATCTACGTACGTGGTGCCCGGCTGTCTGTAGGTACCAACCTTACCCAAAACTCATGCGAGTCAGTGGGTATCAACTCTATGCTCTGCAAGGCGCGGGGAGTCCTTGAGTTTGGGAGCGAAACAGTATCCGTCTGGAAAGACCCTCTCTGTCTGGCAGCCTGCAGGTTGATGGATCTTTCCCTCGCTGCTCTCTCTCTCCCCAGCCTGCCTGTGGAATATGGCATCCACCCGCCAGCCTTTCACAATAAAGATATTAGATGGATACCCGACTGGATGTCACCCCCCCAGATTTGTGCATTCTCCATTCTTGTTTCCCCCCCTGAACCAGTGCTTCCCTTCCCCCAATAGATAACAATCACTTGGTTGACGCGTGGGTTCCTGTGGTTCGTGTCTGCATTCAGGGGTAAAACAACGCTACTTCAACCGAACCACGGTTCCCTCGGTTGCCCGTGACTTAGCTCACAACGTTCCCAATTGGGGATCTTCCAATTGTGCCCAGCCATGTCATCGGTGTCAGACTGCCATGACACTTATAGCCCCATGCGCGATAGCCCCATGCGCGACAGCCACCACTTCTTAATTTTCTATCTAAACGTCTCATCAAATGTCTGTCCATTTCGTCTTGATAGCCGTCGCATCTTCCTTCCCGGTATCTGACTACTGCATGATGTCTAGTTGCAAATCCAACTGCCACTCCGTATCTCTGTAGCGGCATTTCTACAAGCCGAATCAACTACTACTAGAGAAATCCTCCCAAGATTTGAGACTTGCCTCGATTTTCAACATGAATTCGATACATATACATACAGTACAGCAAAAGCTGTCCGAGAAATAGTAGATACATATTTAACAGATCAAGTCACTGTGCGTCAGACTTTTGAAGGTGCAGCATCAGACTGATTCTAGTTTAAGTTTCAACAGGTCACGTCGAACTTGAGCTGGCGGTCGGCGGTGAAAAGTCCCCAGTGTTTCTCGTCCATGGACTCACCATTGTCACCCGTGCTGTTGGGCTTCCACACCTCGTCGAAGGCCTCGAAATAGAAGACGTCGGTTCCCTTCTGCAGCATGGGGCATACCGCTGATTTGTAATACTGTGCAGCATTCTGAGTACCGGCTTTAGCAGCACCATAATCGGATCCACCGTCTAGAATAAGCAATTCATCAGTTTGTCTGCATCTCTACTAAGGCGTTGGGTGATGTTGTCAATATAACTTACCGGTGGGCCAGCCGGTTTCCCCATTTCCAAAGCGGATATTGCCCGCATTAGCTCCGGCAACCTGCTTGATATGGTTCTCGGCCTGCGTCATATCGGAGGAGTAGGTACTGGGAGCATTGTTGATGTCTACATCCTGCCAGTAGGCGAATCCATTGGCCAAACTAAATCATCATGGTTAACTGAGATTCAAAGTACGACTATGATCGGGAAAGGGAGGCTTACAGGTAAGTGACACCTCCTTGGATGATGGGATCGGCAGTGCCATCCGCGAATTTGTTCCAGCTATCAACGGTGCCAACGGTGACCGAAGGGAACTGGTTCTGCACCTGTTGGATTTTGCTCAGGAGTGCCTGCGCAGTGAGACTTCCGCGGTAGAGAACCTCAGAGCCTACAGTAATGGCAGACACAACATCTTCATTCCCAGGGACGACCTGCTTCAGAGCGTTGAGGTCCTGGTCAAAAGACTGGTCATAATCCGCCCTAGAACACAACCGAAGTTAGCTTCACGGAGTCAATGTCAACGATTCAGTCGATGACAATGCCTTACCAGACTCCCAAAACGACTTTGAATCCCTTGGCCTTTGCAGCGGGCACGATATTCTGAGCAAGATTGCAGTCACTGGCTGAGTATGTGCGGACTATAGTCGTCACACTTTTGAGAGCATCAAAGTCGGCTTCGTAATCACTCGTAGATTTGCAGCTGGAATCACTGTTCTTATCACCTATGGCGAGACCCAGGGTGCCACTAGCGGACACAGCCGGGATTGCTGCCAAAAGGGCAGGAAGCAAGCTAGTAGAGACACGCATGCTGAAAGGCGCGGTTATTTCAGTGACAGGTTTCGAGCGATGTATACCGATGGATGAAGTAGCAAGAGCAGCTGCTTAGGGAAGGACAGGGTATATGAAGAGAGCGTGGGAAGTCAAGAACCTGAGTTTTGGCTTCTATCGAAGGAGAGTAAAGAAGAGGGGAAGCTCTGTAAAAGGATGGCTCGTTCCTGGCTATATGCAAGCAACCGAATAAAAAAAAAACAAGAGAGGAAGGATTGGCAGGATTTAAGTAAGAATAGAAGGAGTTGCACGGCAAAACGTCAGAACCTAGAAAGACTGTGGAGTCATACTTACTTGTACAGTACAGGGTACCTCCAAATGGGGAGGCCTACGAGACAATGAATGAATAGCTAGACTCGCCTCCCAGTGGGACAACTCCGAAAGTCAATTGAGGGAAAGGGAACCGGCGCTTCACAGCCAGGGATTCAATCGCCGGAAGAGATCATTGTTGGAGTGACCAGACTCTTGAAGGGTCCATCTACAGTGGCTAAGCCAGGGACGTTAGCCAGAAGGCGCCCAGTGGAATAATCGAGATACACTGGATGTTAATGGAGTCCTTTATCCACCCCTGCCATTCCGAGGGCTCCGGCTAAGATCTCCACTGCAGGCGCCAGGGTCTGGACCCTTGGACCTCTCGAGCCCATTACTGCCCCAAGTCAGATCTGCTTTTGTTCTTCTTTGCTCCCTTCACTGCAAAAATACTACTGATCACACAGTTATTCTGGGCATTTTAGTACGCACTATCTCGCCGATTTAATTTTGGCTATACTACAGCCAAAATCGAAACACTAGTTTCCTTAAAGGGAAGCAAAGAGAATATATAAAGCCTCCCACTCAAATTCTGCGAGATTGGGCTCCGTTCCGGTTTCATCCCCCAACTATAATATGAGGCGAACTCTCCATGTCTGACGATCTTGTCTTCTCGAATCCCTCCCCACTTCCATCAATAAACTTAATGAGAGATCATATCTTGGCCACCCTCAATCAATCACCAGGCGTTCAGACCTCAGATGATGTCACTAAGAGGGCCCTATAACGCGTACACCGGCCATGAACCCTGGAAATATGAGCCACGGTTCACTCAAGAACAGGCGGGTGAAAGACCATTATTGTTGCTGCTAAGAAAAATCCCGCAATATTCTTTCTCCCACTTCCTGATCCATCATTGTTACCAAACAGAAGCTTCCTTACTCATCGCAGTGGCGCGCTTATTACCAAGGTTGAATCCCGCGAATTGTCTTGATCTAGACCGCTTACTTGATTGTCCTCCCTTCATCCGGGTCAAGGCAGTATCTGGCTATTATTCTAGAGGAACCTGCGGGTACCACAAGCTGGGAAATGTGAGCTCATCATAGTTAAGTCGTCGGTTTCGGGTACTATATACGAGCAAAGCAAGCATCGAGAGGTCTGCGCAGTCAATGTTGGCTCACTGTGCTTCGTCAAATATTTAATATTTAAAGACCGAAAGGGTGTCCATTTGCGATCTCTAGGAGGCAGTCAATCAATGAAAGCAAGAGACAACCCAATGAGGGAGAACGTGAGTATGCCTCGTACACCTGGCCATAAATAGTTCATGATTCCTCAGGCTCTTCTAAGATGCCCCTATTCCTCAGCGTTCACGAACGCACTGAAGCAATGTATGTATGTCTGTAGAGGCCAAGTAGCCCTCAGGAAGTCCTTGGTATACCCTTAGGCCGCCTTAAAACACTCAAAGTCAGGTGTTATCAGATCAAGACAAAAAGGAATGATTGAACTCTAGATATGGTTGATAAGACAGAGTCGAAGTAGTAAAAAGAAGCATCGCGCCCTTCTAGACTCCGAACCCTGCCAGGACTAGTCCAGTTAGTGCCGGGTGATCTGGTGGTGGTCCGAGCGTCCAGAATTCCCAGCGCAGCACAGAGACCACCTTGCCCGTCGGGAGTCGAAGCACACCTAGCAAGCCCGACCACCACCACCTCACCTGGATCTTTTTCGAGGAGAACTCCACCAACCTATTACCGGATTTGGAGTCATCAAAAGCGAATTACCCTACCCATCATGCGATTCTCCGCAACGACCCTTCTGATCACGGCGCTGGCGTGGTTCACCACCGTGACCGCACACAACATCCAGCTCCGGGCTCACTCCCGCGAATGCTTCCACGAGTCCTTGCACAAGGATGACAAGATGACTGTCTCCTTCCAAGTTGGAGACCGGGAATTCGGAGGCAGTGGCAACCTGGAGATCGATTTCTGGGTAGGTTCCCTGAGCAGCATGCTAGTTGTCAATCTCCGCGCGAATACCGTTTGGGATGTTTTGATATACGATTGAGCTTGCAAGGACACAAAACTACTTTGAGGGATATAGTCACTAACATGTGATTGATGCCAACAGGTCGAGGACCCCCTTGGTAACCGTCAATACTACAAGCACGCCATCTCGTCGGAGGATTACTCGTTCAACGCGCACTCGGACGGCAAATACGTCTACTGCTTCAGCAACGAAGGATGGGCCTCGAACTCCAAGGAAGTTTCTTTCAACGTTCACGGAATTGTCTACGTCCCTGAATCGGAATTGGCGCAGGATCCCTTGGAGACGGAAGGTAGGATTACAACACCCCGATATTGTCTATACTAGTCTTCGGCGACCGTATGAGCTAACCGCTATTGCTTCCTCATCACAGTCCGCAAGCTGTCTGAGGCCCTGGCACAAGTTAAGGATGAGCAGTCGTACATTGTTGTGAGAGAGCGGGTTCACCGGAACACGGCCGAGAGCACCAACGCCCGTGTGAAGTGGTGGAGTATCTTCCAGCTAGCTGTGCTGATCGGAGAGGGTATTTTCCAGGTGTGGTGGCTCAAGAGATTCTTCGAGGTTAGCCAATCCCTTGTTCCTTGGTCCGGTGAATTAAGGCTAACAATAGAACGATGAACAGGTCAAGCGTGTTGTCTAGAGTGATTATCTTACGAGCGTGATAATTGTAAAGGGCATTATATCATACCCTTGACATTCTTCTTATATCTGAAATTATGGAACCTTTTCCCCTTTTCCTTCCAATCCCAATTGAACAAATAAAATCATCTGGATGATTTTTATTACCTTGGGATATACTATCTAAATGTACGAAGCATGTATACAACCAAAAGTCTACCAGCGCAGCATTAGATTCCTTTAGCCCCATTCCCACAACATAAGCCCAATAGCCTTATCACAAGCGAAACAACAGTCTGCATTACTAGTAGTAAGTAGTAGCAGCAGCAAAGCAGGGATCCTCCGAACAGGCCTCCCTACTAGATAGATGGTAGTAGTAGTACTACCAATGTACCACCACCCCAGGAACAGAAAAAACCCCGCACGAGCCCATCACCCAAACAAAACAAT